TATAAATCATAATCTCCTTTATTATTTTCATGTCTCGATTCCAACCTTCAAATTATAGATAAAATATCAAATAAATATACGTTATATTTTCTAGAAATATTTAGATAATCTCTATCTTATAATATATAGAATCTATAGAGGCAAAACAAATCCTAAATACGATATATCTTCTAGAATTTTCTTCTCTTATTCTTTGATATTTTTCCTATGATAGATTTGAATTAATGAAAATCTATAATATATTTTATTTATAATTTCGTGAAGAAATTCAAAAATACGTCGTATCGCCTGGAGGATTGTAGAATCAATTTGCCGAAATGGGGGAAGGGCGAGAGCCCCCAACATCCAAATACGTGGTATCCCTAGAGATTCAGGATCTTTTGGTAGTCAAAAGATGAATCGGGATCATGTATCTTCGCCCTCGTACGGTCAGCATTTTGTCGGAATTGCAGCTATTCTGGTGTTTTCGTTAACTGCGCTTGCAGGCGACGGGTGCGCTGCAGTTGCACATCCCTCGCGCTGCAGGAGCCTTTTGCTTTGACAACCTAATGATTGTGACAGTCCCAACTATAGCCACCCAAAGTTGAGTTTCACGCTACTACTATTGTGATTATTGTTGTTATTACTACTACTCCTGCTCCTACTCCTGCTCCTGTCCAACTACTGCGCCTACGCCTACCCTCACTCCCACTCCTAATCCTGCTGCTGTTGCTGCTGCTGAAGCAACCACTGCTGCTGCTGCTGCTACTACTACTACTACTACTACTACTACTACTACTTCTACTTCTACTTCTACTTCTACTTCTGCTGCTACTACTACTACTACTACTGTCGCTGTGTCTACTACCTAACCAATAAGAGTACGGTTAGTACCAACGGTAATACTATTACCAATATCCGTACTTTACTTCCTGTTAAGAATACTTATTCCAGTCTGAACCTGAATAAGAACAACCGGTACGTGAAACCACACCGCAAAGATGCATCTCAAGAGCTACTACTCAAGCCTCCTGCAGTCACGACGTGATCGTTGCATTAACGATTGCTCAAGGCAACTGGCGTCACATTTCTCGCGAGTACCACACGACGAACTCCGGATAGGCCTTGCGACAGCTTGAGTTATGGCGCACAGCTCTCAAATACAGTCTGCGGACATGTCCTGGTGTGTGTCGTACACGATCATCTCGCGGAACCTTGAAAAAGTGAAGGGCCATGTCCCCAGCAGCTAGGCTTGACATGAACCATCCATTCAAATGCGCAAGCCTGAGTGCAATCATTGCAATTGGTCTCGCACGTGTTGCGGATCTTCTCACGATCTCCCAGTACGGAATGGTTTTCGCCTCTGGTACATTGCCTGCCGCGGAATGCTCCAAGCACAGCGAGCTTTGCGACATTACATGCATGGTGTCCTGACGAGGTCATTTGTGTTCGGATATTCTTCGTCTGTGTACCTCAGGAAATCTGGATCATCCAGGAGAAAGCGCTGTCTCTTTCAGATCTCCACTCGGCCCCACTTCCGACACCTGGAAGCCCGTTGCCCGCTTTCCGGTGAACATCCGGTGCTGTAAGGCTGCGGCAGTAGCCGGCCCAGAGTTACGCGGCAAACCTTGGCTGGGTGCCTTCTGGCCGACAGAGGCCAGAGCCCCTGATGCTTCGCGAAATGCCGCAAAAGCCCGATGAGACTCAATGCCAGGCCACCAACATGCAGCAAAGCCCTGGCAGCAAATGCATCTGAGCCCATCTGCAATTTTCCGGTCGTTCAATTCAGTCCTACTGAGCTCCAATATCTGCATTGGTTGTCGGCAAGCCAATCAGTATACAATGTAGAATACACATGCGATATCTGATATATGCTACAGTATATGATCCGTTGCAATTAGCATACAATATCACACGGTTTGGTGATTGGTTACCTCAGTCTGTGGCTGCGCTGGTGCACATGCCTCGGCTGTCTTCAGTCGCGTACCTATCAGGGCAAGAGGGGCCAACTGAAGATGACCTCCAAAGAAGACCTGCAGCTACTTGCATCTATCACCTAGTCCTTCGAAGCGCACTCGTCGCTTTTGCCGGTGCTCTCACCTGGTGGCCAAAGATAAAGATTTCCCTTGTTCTGTGCTCTGGCGAGATCACGAGGCTCAAGCTGAAGTAGAGGCCTCTTCCGTAAAGAGTCCCAGCCTGAGCCCAGTGAATGCTTCTCTCTTTGCACCAAATTCCAGAAACAGATGGCACACAAGCTGGTGGCGTTTGAACCGGCCAGGTCGAGACGAAAATCACCTGCGAGTGCAACAGAGCCACAACGGAAACTCGCAATCGAAGCGCTCTCGACATATCCGCGGCCTTCTGCTATTGCCAAAGCCGACGAGGGCTTTGTGCCTGCTGCAGTTCGAAGCACTTACTTCCATCTTCACACAGCCACAGCTGGAGGGGTGAACCGACATCAGCACTTGCAGACCAAGGCCACCACCGTGAAAAAGGTAAAATTCGTTGATGCCGGCCTTGGCACGGAAAGCAACAACAACGCTTGCTGAGTCCTGCTACATCACAACACCGGCACAACAACTTCTTGCAGATGCTGAGCATCAATGGGATCGTTCGGAAGGTCGTGAGACTCTCTCCAAACTTGGTGGAACCTGCAATCTCCCAAGAATGTGCAGCAGGTCTACTTGTCCATAGTCTGCATACACACGTATATTCGCAGAAAGTGTGAGCTGTTTAAGGTTGGCCGCAGGTTTTGAGCCATCGCACCCGACACGGCTTGCTGAAGTCGGAAGCAGCTAAAGCTTTGCCAGGCAGACGGCTTCCCACTGGGCAAGGCAGCAAATGTCTTGCACACCTGTGCGATCCGGGCAGTTCTGCCAAGTCAGCCTACATGCACCTGACTCTGTCGACGGGTGCCCGAGTCTCAAAATCCGAGAATCCGACAGATCTGCTCTCCAGCTGATTGAGGAGCGTGGACGGAAGGGGACCTTGTGCCCCCGGTGGCTGCTGCAAAGACTGCGGGCCACTGTGATTCTGGCTTCGCTCTTTCAGCTCAACAATGTAAGCACATAGCCGTAAGATTGCGTAATCGTCTGCTAGAGCTGCGCATTCGTGTTGCAAAGCAATAGAATAGAACGACTTTGGAGCGGACGCTCTTGGCATTGTTTCCGAATCTCCTGTCCGACACTCCAGTTGCTGTGCGTCTTGAACTACTCCGTCTGTCCTCTCGTCTTCGCACGTATTCCACAAAGTTCGGCAGATTCTTTACAACCTGAAGAGCGAAAAATCAGAGGCCTGGGATCCGTGGAACTGTGACTGCAACAGTGATGGTCTCATCCCCATATGCTCGCGAGCAGCCACGGCTTCCTTGACGATCAACCGTGACCTTGGCGACTGCCCCTGGCGGCTACCACAGCGAAATTGCAGTCCCATCTCAAATATTGGGTCCTGGCGGCACGTCTCCTCTCCGGTCCTTTGTCCTCACCTGATCTCGTGTCTTGCTCATTGCGTCGGCATGCGATGATGTGTTGGGTGCAGCAGGCATAGGATGTTCAACAGCCTGCACAGTTGGCTGCAGGCCGGGAGCATCTTCTGGTATCTCAGACTTTTCCGGGGCGCTCGCGCGTCGGTACGTTGCATCGAGCAGCTCTTGGAACACCTTCCCAAGTATGTTGGTTTCATATCCACAAGACATGAATACTGCAAAGAAAAAAATCAACAATGCGGAACACCAACCTTGCCTCGCAAAGGGTGTTTTGCAGCAGTTCCTTCTTGACGCTGCCTGTGAGTCTTCGGCTCGCGGGGACATTTCAGGGTTTGGGGTTTCAGGGTGCATGGTGCCGAGTCTTGGGGCCCCACTCTTGGAGATTTTGCTCAGGACCTGTTCATTCTCGAAGTACCTGCATAGTAGAAGGCCATATGCTCTTTTGACCCCAATTGCACGAGCTTACACGATGCTCGGAGCCAACATGCTTCGAGGCAAGCCGCGTCATGCTTCTCACATCTCAATACGAGTAATTACTGCGTCAGGTGGTGGGATGCATCTAAAACAAACACACACACACACAGAGCGAAAAAAAGTACGCTGATGAGTATAGAAAGGTCGCCATCGCACACTTCCGATCTGTACTGTGGTGAAGATTGCTGAATCGTGAGCAGGTCACGGAGGCAGGCCCAGCAGCTCCTTGTAGACCTGCAAAGCCGAGGACGAAGGACCAGCTTCCAACGTGGACCCTTGGCCACCAGCCGTTGCCTTGATCGCCTCTTGGAACTTCGGCTCCTGGTGCCGGCAATAACACCAGTAGCAGTAATAATAGTACAGAGAGCAATGATAAAAGAAATGTAGCAATATTCAAGTATTAACAGTAATAATAGGACAAGGCGAAACCCACTGGCACACGACCGTTTCCTTGCCGTAACTGCCTCTATCCGTCGGTACTGTACAGCTCAGGAGCAGAAGACATGCCGGTGGCTTTGAACCCGTCCCTTTCGGATCCTGTGAAGCCCAGGCATGGACGTCCACATCCTGCACGAAACTCACAGAAAAGTGTCTTGTCGTAATTCCCACATTCCAAGCTCATGATAGCAGTCCTCCTGCTGTCATCTGCTTTCTCATGCCATGCATGGTGGGGGGGATTCAACAGAGGATGAGTCTCCTCCTCGATCATTTCTTGCAGCGTCGCGCGCAAAGCTTCCTTCCGATGCAGGGATCTGCTTAGACAGGCTGCCCCCGTGCAAAGCAAACAGTGCTGAGATGTTGTGAGCAACTGCATCGAGGCAAAAACATCTTCTACCACGACGACAGGAGTTCACTTTCGAAAGCCAGAGTGCTTTGAGCATAAAGTGCCATTGACTGCATCTCATCAACACAGAACCAAGTTCTTCGATTGTCTCCTGATCTCTTCTTGCCATTGCCTCGGTGATCGGGAAACATGGCTGAAGTAGGACATCCTAGCTGCTCCTCACAGCACAGTGGTGCCACCGCCGGTAGTATGGTTTCATCGCAATCGCCATTCCTATACCTAAGACAGATCTTTGCCGCGCTGCAAGGTAGGCAGTCACACTCCGTCCATCTGTCTACCTGTCTGTCTGCCTATCTACCTATCTACATATCTATCTAGATATCTACCTAGCTATCTACCCATCTATCTACCTATCTGCCTGCTTATCTATCCGTCTATCTACCTGTCTATCGATCTCTTTCTATCTGTCCGTCGACCTATCTACCTATCCACCTACCTACCGATCCATCTTCCAATACCGATATGTATGCATGTATGCATACACACATACACATACATACATGTATACACACACGCACATATATATATATATTATAATATATATATATATATATATATAGACATACAGCCGCCTGTATTCACATGTACATGCAAGCATACGCCTCCCTGTCTGTATGCATATACAAGCACATTAAAGCTTTGCTTGCATGTATTTTCATATGGTACCTTACATTTATACATAAAAGAACAGATAAAGAATACTCAGAATGATACATGTATATGTATATGTATACACACATATACATGTATCTGCGGGCACATATACATATATGTACATATGTATATTCAAATTCTTTTTATGCATAATATGTGCACATGCAGCTTCATATACTGACAGAGGTAGACAGGTAGATAGATAGATGTGTTCTTGGGTGCGAGCATTTATCTGTTGCTCGTGTATGATTATTCAGATTTGTTTTATGGGTACATATACATATAAATTTACAGTTACTGTAGTTATTTGTGTATATAGTTGTTTGTTTGCTTGCTTGGTTGGTTGGTTAATTGGTTAGCTAGTTGGTTGATTGTTTGGTTCGTTGCTTGCTTGGTTTACTTCTCCGTATATAATGTATACGGTACATGTGCTACGGTTCAGGCATGTGCAGGCGATGTATGCGTTTATGGCGCCACGTGACACAAGACAAACGGGGTAGTAGTTGAAGTTGGTTGTGCATGATGTCTGAGACTCGCGCGTCTTGCAGGTTCTGCAAGCTGAGCTGCCTGCATATGTCGTGCTAAAGGAGCGCATGCATCGTCTGAGCAAAAGCATTCACACTGCACGTGTGGCGACTCATGCTATGGTCACCATCTGGACCACAGATTTGCTTCGTGCCTTTGCAAATCCACCAGCCGCGTGTACTCAGGCAAATCTGAGTAGCCGTATTTTTCGGCCTGATGAGGACGGCACTGCGAAGCTTTCGCAGAGTTTGCAAATACCCACATGCCCATACTCGAGAAACCGTTTTGCTATGCGAGGTGACGACATGGAGCGAACTTGGTGAACTTGCTGCGCTGACTCCCTGCCTCAGCACATGCCTTTCGTACGGCTTTTCGGCTACAGGTCGCGATGGCTCGTTGAAGCGATTGGCCTGGCCGGAGTGCAGTTACCCTGACCTGGACTATGTCTTCTCCCACACCTATGTTGTATAGACATAGATACAAGCACACACGCACACGCAAACATCCATGGATCTATCTGCTGCGTGCATACTTTACCTATCCATCTCATACCTACCTCAGGTCTATGTCGTATCCATCTCATATCTGTCTATCTATCTACCCATCTGTCTTTCTATCTGATCTCATGTCTATCTATCTGTCTATCGGTTTCAAGTATACTATCTAGCGACATCTGGCGACTGTATGCAAAGATCTGTGGGTGGCTCATGGATTTGCGGAGCGGTGGGTGTATCGATGGGCCCGAAACTCACAGTCCTGGGATGGGGAGAGACCCCAGACCGACCTTTGAGGAGGGGAGTCGATTGGGTTCACGGTGCCGGAGATCCGGAGTGAGGCATGTGACCAGAGCTCTAACCTGAACCCTTCTTTATGCGGCTTCAAACAGCCCTCCCGTCACTCTAGCTGGATGGCCGGTTCCCAGATCGTGTCTAAAGGGTGGCATGTACTGTTGTTTAACAACTTTTTATGGCTTGAGGCCGAAAGCTTAGATTGCACGGCTTCGAGGCCGAACCTCCCCGTAACCGATGAGTTCATAGCAGGGACCTAGACAAATAGACCCAGTGTAGATCATAGGAGGCTCAGGACAGCAGAGCTCTGAGCCCCCCTACATCCACCCCAAACTCGACACCGAGGATAGTACAATCAATGCTACATGCACCCTGCCAGAACTAAGCCTTTGGTCTACAAATAGGTGGTTGTCAATATTAGGGTCCCTTTTTGGGTCCTTATTATATAAAGGCACCTAATATTTAGCGTACCCAACAGGGTACCATAATTTTGGCAACCACCCAAAATACGCGACCAACCGTTGGAAACGCAGCCGTACCGATACTTCGGGCTTAGCGGAAGAGAATTCTTTGGAGAAAGTCTTCCACTATAGGGCCTGGGCTCAGCTACTAAGTGGAGGCTAGGGTTTGGGATATGGCGTATTTCGGGCCTTTAGATGTTATCTTTTTGGGGATCTGGTTGAAGAGTCGAAGCTCTGTGGGTTGGAGTTGCCAGGACTCTTGAGGAGTTTGGACTGCCCCACTTGAGGTGGAAGCTCCGACATCACCAAGCAGGCTGGTTGTGCGGACGCCCTTCTTGAGCGCCACCTTCGGAGAGATGCGGACACATGGTTCGACGTGCAAAGGCAGCAATCCAACCCAGGTGCCATCATCTGCCGTGCGTAGAATTCACACCTTTCTCCATTCTTGTCCTGCTGCAAAGCCTGCCCCGTGAATTTAGGACACGCGCACCTGCGGGCTAGATTCACACCAAACCCCGTGTCGCTATGACGTCAAGAAGAGACTATCTTCGGTGACCATCGCTGAAGTAGACCGCTCTGGTAGCATAGCTTGCCTCCGCTTCCATAAACTCTGGCCGTTCGGTCAGCAGGGAGCCTCTTTCCAGCTCCAGATAAAGATGAGTCCGTTCTAATGACCACCAGAGCATCTCAGCCAGCTGGATCCAAGTCTAAGCTGTTTGAGACATGAATGCGCGTTCGTCCCTGCAACTCCTGTAACCAAGCCTCCAGGACTCGTCTTGCCAGCCTCGCGTGCTGCATGGCCAAGATGCCGTCATCAAAATGATCTATGTTGGCACGATTGTGTGCGATGCTGGCCTGCAGCAGGCTGTGCAACATCTCCAAATCACCTCCGACAGCAGCAGTAGCAGAAGCAGGAGTAGCTGGAATAGGAGGAGGTGGAATAGCAGCGGCAACAGCAGCAGCAGCCGGGTTGAGGACTGGTGGGGTCATATTCCTGAATGTTTTGCGGCTTACTCAAAATCAGATCAACTGCCAGTTCAATCCTACAAAGCGCTTTCAAGTGATGCCACAATGCCAGATCTATTGTGCACGGTGCGTAGTGCTTGCAGTCTTCGCGGGTCCCGTCCGTTCCGCCTATGGACTCCGTGCACTAGCCGTGGCATGCTGTGTCCCTACAAGTCTGCTCTTTATGGCTCGTACTGCAAGACATGTTGGCAACCTGGACTGCCCTTGTTTGAATGCTGATCCGTCGTTCAATGAAAGACTTACTCATGTTTCTCGTGTGATGACCAAACTGCAGCGGGCATAATCAGATCATGGCCTCTGGTGGCGGCGTCCGCAAGCTGCCTGGGCGGAAGTTGCTGCTTTGCACACGTTAGCCCTGTCGAGCACGGAGAATAGCCTTCCGATCTGCTCCACCCGCTTCTCTTCCAGCACCGTCTGCAAGGCATCCTCCGCATCCTTGTAGAGCCTTCCGGGCGAAAGAACCGGATTCTGACTAAACTTTAGCTTGCAAAATGACATTTGTTCTGTACTCCATGCAAAAGCTCATGCAAAGATCCTACGCCTAGAAGGCACGAGGACGGCTGGTCTGCGGGATGATGGCTTCAACCACACCAAGTGGGAGGGCAGCACTTCCCCCCCCCCCCCTCCCAGCGGCTGTTTCGATTTGCTGTCGCAACCTGACTTCACAAGCCTCAGCACAGAACTCCCTCAATCGCCGCCTTGAACCGGTCTGCTCGTACTGTTGCGCGCTCAGGATGGCCTGCATCATGCCGAATCATATCTCAAACTCTGCCGTAAACTTCTCGGAAGCGCAGCTTAGCAGCACAGCTGAAATGCTTACCCTGGGCCTCCGCTTTTATTCCCCGCTTCCCCTGAAACAGCTGCACGGCAGAGTGCGGCAGGGTCGCACAAGAGACGTTGACGGACTGTGACAGTGCACTGCGGTATGCACACTCCCCAAATCAGCATGGGAATCATGCACCCTGCATCTGCAGGTGCTCTCTGCAGTATTGTTCGATGGTGATGATCTCCTGAATCAATCCTCAGCCCACTAAACTTCAGGCCCTAAACCCTAAGAGCACCGAGGCTCGGGTGCAAACGAGCGCTACAACACAGCGGACGGCGCTGCACCTCCGCCTCAGGGACGAAGCTCAGAAGGCTTCGAAGCGAGGTCTTTGCACAAGATGCACGGAAATGCTACAATTTTCCCGGAGGTCCAAGAGAATCCGAGTCAGAGTCTGCCGCTTTCCCTGCAGCATGGCCCTTGAGGCTCGGAGGCTCAAAGAGAAGTATATTTAATATGCTTGATTGGGAGATCTGCTGCTGTCTTGGACCCCCGCGATCTCCCCGGGGCCACTTCTGGGCCAGGGTGTCTGCTAATCTTCAAACGGTGCATCTAGACCGCTCGGACATTTGCAGGGGCAGGCCGCCCTCTAAGTGGAAAACATTCGGACAAACATGCCCTTCAGCTTGTCGCGCTTGCGAAGCCTTTGGTCGTCTTGTGGCCTGCAGGCTTCATTCACTGCCTAGCTTGCACAGAACACTGAGCCGCAGATGGCTTTACATAAGCTGGAAGGTGCACCCTTGCTGCTGCTTTCTGCTGTCAGTGCTGTCTCTCCGACACAACCTTTGCATCTCTTGAAAGCACTCTGCAACTTTGCAGCATCTGCACGCATGCTTCTGCCTGTTCAACGTGATGATCTCCTTCGAGATTGCTCTTTCTGCGGCTTCAAGGGCGTCGTCATCAGCACCGCCACTCTTCAAGTAACCTAGCTCCACGAAAAAACGAGCTCACAACGAACAAGACAAAGACTGCTACAATTTCCATACCAAAACAAACACATGGTGCACCATTGTTCCTGGTGGCCGATGAACTCCTCGTACGAAATCTTGCCGTCATGATTCACATCGAGGTCCTTCATCACTTGGTTGGCTTCCCGATCGCTCTCCAGTACCTCGTATCAACAGTGACAGACACCTAAACCCTAAACTTGCGCTCCGAACATGACAGCAACCTCTCAAAAGTGCCCCCTGATCGATGAAGCTCGCTGCGTCTTAAGGTCCCCCCAGTCAAGGCACCAGCAAAAGATCCTCCTTCCGGATGAAGCCTGTGTTTTCTGTGTCAAAGCGGCGGAAGGCATCCTTCAAGAGATCATCATGTAAAGAAATCCTTGAGGCCATCATAGCAGCCAAGAACTCCGAGTAGTGGATCTCATCCGCCTCTACGTCGCCGATTGCATTGAACACCGTTTCGGCCTGGCCTTCGGGAATGTGGAAGTTGTCTTCTAAGACTTTCTTGAAGTCGGCTGCCGTGATGGTGCCGGTGCTCCCTTTGTCGAGCTCTAGGAAGGCCTCCCGCACTTGGCCCCTGTCAGAGACGCACCGCCGCAGATACAGTAGCCCTAAACCCTAAACTTCCCCAAACCCCAATCCCATTTACCAGTACTGCTTGAAACCCTGTAAAAGGCACGCTAATCCCATCTACTCCCCAAAACCCTTTTAAAGGAGGTTTGAGGCGACTCTCTATAACGAGGCAGCTGCCTCTCCGATGCTGTGAGGGACCAGGCCATGAGCTTCATGCAGGACCTCCGGAAGTTCTGAGACTTCGCGAAGTCACCTGGGCTCCCTCCTTTACTCGTAGCTCTCAGGAAACCCCTATTGTTTGCTATGGATCCCTACTATGTACCATAGATCCTCAATCTTTACTATAGATCCTCATTATTTACTACTATAGATCCCTGATAGAGTAACGTAGATGTCTTAATAAGAACACGTCACAGAGGGACATGACCATGGCTTCGTCGATGCAATCGGTGTTGGCATGCTCCAAATTCTTGATCCAAGGATGCTCTAAGGCGGCTGGCGCGTTCATGCGCACATCTGGGTCCACCACGAGGAGCTTCTGCACAAAATCCGACGCCTGTGACGAAACCTTGGCCCACCTGTCCTTCTTCACGATGTAATGACCAGAGCGGATCATCTGAATCTGCTTCCTTTCGTCATTGCCCGCAAAAGGCATGTAGCCGACAAGCAAGATAAAGACGATGACTCCCAAGCCTCAGCTGTATGTCTTGCACCCGAAACGCTGAGCCCGCAAGCCCCAAAGTAGAAGGGAGTACCCCAAAATGGATCTTCAGAGCTTACTTATACGACTGGCAGGTCGCTCCAAAGGTCGCACTGGCTCGTGTAAGACTTCGCCAGAACCTCTGGGGCTGCGTACGACAGAGTCCCGCAGCTCAACTCCATCTTCGTGTTCTTTGCCCACACCTCGGGGGGTTTAAGGTGCAGAGGTGTCCCTTCGGCTGGGCTGGGAACCCATCCCGAAGTTCTTTTGACATGTTCCGATCGCCTTGCTGAAGCCGAAATCGATGAGTTTCAGGAAGTCGCCATCCTTCCTCTCATAGAGGAAATTCTCGAGCTTCAAGTCCCTGTGCACGATGCCGGCGCTGTGCAGGTAATTTACCGCCAAGAGCATCATCCACGCTGTTTTGCAGGCATCTTTCTCCGAGTACACTTTCCGCTCACGCACTCGATCGAAGAGCTCGCCACCCTCCATGCACTCCATGACGAGGCTCAGCCTGTCCTCTTCCTGCCAGCAACCAGCAGAGACAAGTTGGGCGGCAATCACCTGAAGGCGTACTACCTACAAGTAGCAGCTCAGACTCCGACCTCATAGACATCAAAGAGCCGGACAATGTGCGGATGATCCATACCTAAGGCGCTGTCCACACAGTTAGCAAAGGCCTGGCTACAGTAGATTGCCGAAAGCTTCTTCGGGCAATCCCATTCAGAGGCGATGATCAGAGCTGGTGTGTTCAGGAGATGAGGTAGCGGGGTTTAAGATAGGAAGCATGCATGAATTGCAAGTCCCGTGGCTCAGGAAGATTTCAGCTTCGGATGCGAGCTCAGCCTTCTTCCTGCCACAGGGATGGTGCTTTGTATGAAGACATGCCCAGCAAAACAAAGAGGTTAGTGAGTTAATGCAGCAAAACATTCAGAACAGCCATGGCAGACAAGCGGCTCTTTGCTGACACCGTGTAGCTTGAAGGCCTTGACGGCGAACTTGCCGGTTCTGTTCTTCCCTCTGGCCAAAAGTACTGAGCCATTGTAGCCGGTTCCGAGTGCCTGACGAAGCGAGACGTGGGATCTCTTTTCAGAATTCGGGGGCCGGGGGGCGCCCTTCTGCGGGGTCCTCAATGTTTCATGAAATCATCGTCAGATGGTCACCCGAGTCTAGATCCCAGAACGAACTCGACTCGGGGATGCATGCCTTCTTCTCCACGAAGTAGTCGTCCTCGAGTCGAGTTGGAAGCCGATGATATCGACCAACCACGGAGATATGGCCCACCCGATCTTCTGCCCTTGTCCTGCAAAAAGATCAATCGGTCCAAGTCTGAAATAGAGGAGCTCTGCCGAAGCAATCGAAGTACTTGCGCCGACGCGAAGCTGCTGTCGCGACAGACATGTAGTAACGTACTGGCATGGCACTTCTGAGACGTAGCAAAGATGCAAGACTTGGAGAAAGCTACAACGACTGCAAAACAACCGGGCTCCAACGATGTCAGCTTCGCCTCCACCTTTTGTGCTGAACCGCAAGTTGAGTCTTGCCAGTCAATGTGACCACGTGCTATACGCAGATGTGTGCCTGTTTCGGCGAGTCATGCTCTCAGCACACTGCTTACGGCATGAAACCGACTACGACCACGACGACCACTCCTACTCCTCCTACTCCTACTCCCACTCCCACTCCTAGTGCTAGTGCTACTGCTACGGCTACTACTGCCGCTACTACTACTACTACTACTACTACTACTACTACTACTACTACTACTACTACTACTACTACTACTACTACTACTACTACTACTACTCCTACTCCTACTCCTACTCCTACTCCTACTCCTACTCCTACTCCTACTCCTACTCCTACTACTGCTACTACTACTACTGCTACTACTACTACTACTACCACCACTACCACTGCTACTACCACTACCACTGCCACTATAACAGGATGTGTTACTCTAGCAGCAGTGTAGCAAGATAACATGCACTGAAGCCTTCATTCTACTTCTGACCATGCACGTTCTATGGCAAGAGCATGCTGCGATGCAGCAATGCGCTCGCTGTCTCGGCATGACTTCGACAACGTCCGGTCGGATGCGGCAAGAACGCAAACAGCATTTGATCTACCTTCACAGTCAGCTGAAAACACTTTTGAGCCGACCATGCTTGACTCTTGTGCTAAACTAGTCGAGGCAAGTACTTACACTGCAACTGCAATCACTGCACCCCCCCCCCCCCAAAGCATCACCATGCATTTCAGACACCAGCTGGGGGTTGTTGCTCTGCTACTCGGGAAGTCGACGGCAAATGCGACGACCGCGACACACTAGCGTCCACGACGTCGTGCAGCCATGTGCAGCGGGAGTTGTCCTCACCGCATCCAGCGAGTTTGTAGAAGAGGCAAGGCCCATGCTGTTCGGCTTAGACTCGGGTCAATACCCCACAAGCATTCCCACAATTGAAACTGGAGCGGTTGGCTGCTTGCTTGCATGGTCCATCCATGTAGATCTTTGCTGGCATATCTTTGTTGGGCTATTCCTGCGCATGCAAGCTCGAGGGTTTGAGTTGCATGATGCCATGGTTTCCTTGAGCAGGCAGATACGTCAATGTAAACAAAGGTCCAAGATTGCGAATACGACGGACTGTCGCCCTCCCAGGACCAGCTGCAGCTGACAGCGACCTTGCCCGGCCTGTTTCAGCTCGAGCTCGTTGCGCGCTGCGATCGCGGCCTCCAGTTCGATTGCCACAAGCGTCCTCCGATGGAAAGAAAGGAAACGCAGCTCTGGACAGCGATGAAAGCCGAAGATGGTCAAGAAGACTCTGAGCAGTGATGCACTTTACTTGGTGGCATGCCGCAAGCAACTACCCCAGTCCTAATGGCAGGCTCTTCTTCAGGCAGTTGGGCGACCTTGCACTGTCAGAATCAGAGTGTTTTGGCAGCTCCTAGTCCTCCTCATCCTACTCACTTCGCCAGCAATGTCCAACCACAGCAGGACTACGAGAAGTGTCGAGCGTTCGCCCGTGCATGCCACGGGACCTTTGCGTAGCGCAGCATCTCCAAGCCGGCTGAGAGTCTTTCCCTATCACGCACCTGCGGCCACAAGCAATCCTCACTGAAGGATCCGTGGTATTTGCACATGACCCCGTGTTCTGCACCGCAAATGACGAGAAAGGACTGCGCAGCCTCGAGGGCAGCGCGAAGCTCTTTCTGAAGCACTTGCACCTGAATCCAAACGGCACACAGGTGCAGCTCATGTCATCTTGGTCCGGTCGCCCCTCCAGTCAGCTCAGGGTAGCTTTCCTGTCCAACCCTGTATTCGGCCTTCTCAAAAAAATCTGAAGCATCCGCTCATGGCTGTGGTCCCAGTTTCGAGCAGCTCTCACATCCCGTCAGGTGGTCTCTCAGACTGAGCTTTGCGCCAGCATGATGATGCACTGCATGATGGCTGGGTGCACCTCCGCACAAAGGGCAGTGAGTCTGCTCTGGCTTCAGTTTGGGCGTGCCCAGACTGAACATGGCACTTCAACTAAGCACCCAAGGCGCTGCTTACCTGTGATGCCATAACCATAACCTCATCTCCTTATAGTGATGTTGTAGTTCTAGTGTTGTTGCCATTTTTCACTTCAGCTACTTTCTGCAATGCTGTAGTTATACTATAGCTATATGTAGCTAGATCATTCACCTTGTCGTAAGACAGCCGGGGCCGCGACCTCCTCTTGACTCTTCATGGGCGGTGCCTGTCTTCAGATGTCGGAAAAGCCGGATGATGCGAGACGAACTACGTACAGCTCTGGCAGCCTCTGGGTTCGTTTAGGGTTGAGGGCAAAAGCCGACTTCCGTTCATCAAGATCTGTGTTTTCATAAGCACAGTTGTTTAAACGATCCAGGATGCACTCTTGGCTCCTGCGCAACATGCCAGGCGAGAGAAGCCGATTCGACGAGCAAGCGCTAAATCTGTTGCACCAGTTGCAAAAGGGAACATGTCAAGTTCTCGTCTCAATACCGTAAACGAAGAACTTGCACTCTGTATCGTGCAACTGCGCCAAACACCGTGAAACTCTCAGAGGCCTATGGAAGAGAGGTCCGAGCGCAGCATGCAGCATCAAAGCTGCGAAACGACAGCATGTTCAAGGACCGGCCAATGGCCAGGGCCATTGCCACAGCACGACCACTGCAAGCGAAGCGAGTGCAAGAGAAAGAGAGAGAGGGAGGGAGGGAGGGAGGGAGGGAGCGGGAGCGGGAGCGGGAGCGGGAGCGAGTGAGCGCCGCATCAGCATCAGCGTCAGCAATCGGCGAATTGCTGGGCCAAGCAGTATCACTTCTTCGTGATAATGCAGCCTCGGGTGTACTGACAGGCCCTCGGAGCGTGAGCTTGCTTGCCAAACGCTTCAGGCATTAAATCCTGAATTCCCACAAGCCTATGCTTCGAGAAGGGTGCTTGCATCTTGAACGAATGTAATGGAGACAAGCACATCTAAACGAGGTCTAACTTCGCAAATGCATCACAGACTGGTGAACCACATCTTTGAGCTGTTTGACGTCGAGTCGTTGGGAGTTGGGCAAGACTTCGACCCTGTCACCGCCTACTACACTACACAGAACCCCTGCAGGCTAATTTTCAACCGCCAATAAAGAAGAGATGTTCGGAAAATAAGAGACCCCAACAGTACACCTTTCAGCAGGCCCCCATGACGGCTTCACACCCTACAATAATACGAAAACCAAAAACGAAAGCAGCCGAGTCTGAGAGCCGCTTACCATGCGAATCAGCAGCTCTTTGCCTGAAGAGTGGAACATCGAACCAATCGGAGGGGCCTCTCGTCCCGCATATCCAGCGCCTCCCAGGGATCCGCCAAAAAAACTGTCTGCCATCCTTGCGTGCCGTTGCCCGTTCGCAGAATCCGATCCCTGGAATTGACGCCTGAATCCGACTGGGATTTTTTCGACGAAGCGGATGCTGGCATGTGCTACTGGTAGATGCAAGGTAAACAAACACGGAGTCCCAAAAAGATCTCAGACCTGGCCCTATGCCCTAAGCTCTAAGCGACAGGAAGGCTGCAAGTTGAACACCATGTTTTCTTCGCTCTGTGTCGCACCGGTGCCTCTCGATGCCCACGAACGAGCTTGACGAAGTCATCAATACCTTGTGTGAACTATTATTGCGAACCGTCATAACCTCCACTGCCGATACACGTCGAAGACCAGAATCGCGTACAAGCCCGGACACTGGCGCTGTTCTTGAGCTGTGTCTTCAGGTAGCTAGTCTTGAGCGCAGCAAGCATCAGCGGCTCCAGCTTGTCTGCAGCGATTCCTCCACGCGACTCGTCCCAAGCCCGGGTGCACACAACCGTGAGACACAAAAAAGAGAAGACCATGGTACGATACGGAGAAGTCAACCCAAGGCGTCCCACTTGATGCGTAAATTACTGAAGGAATGATGGTAACAATAACATTGCTGCTACCTCTGTCACTCTGGCTACTGCCGATTGCTCGAGATACTGTCGCTGCTGCAGCTGCAGCTCCTCCCGCTGTGACTATGATTGCGTCAGACGTCGTCACTACTACTCCTACTACTACTACTACTACTACTACTACTACTACTACTACTACTACGACTACGACTACGACTACGACTACGACTACGACTACGACTACGACTACCACTACCACTACCACTACCACTACCACTACCACTACCACTACCACTACCACTACCACCTACTACTACTACTACTACTACTACTACTACTACTACTACTGCTACTGCTACTGCTACTGCTACTGCTACTGCTACTGCTACTGCTACTGCTACTGCTACTGCTACTGCTACTGCTACTACGACGACGATGACCATGACGAATAGCATCACCACTGCTGCTGCTGCTGCTGCTGCCGCTGACGCGAGTTATTGCCCTGGGTGTTGCCCGTCCTGCTGCTGTGCAATCTCCGCTGCTGCTGTTGCTGCTGCTGCTCCTGCTGCTCGTCCTGCTCCTGCGGCTCGTCCTGCTCCTCCTCCCACTTCCGCTGCTCCTGCTCCTGCTGACGCAAAGGCTGAAGGTTGCTATTGTTACTGCTCTAAGGTCTACTCTTGTTACCCTGCCAGCTGCTGTCATTTTTGCTTCACATACAAACATCCAACTGGGGACAGGCTTTGTCTAATTGCGATTAGCTTGCCAGGCAAGTGTCGACCCGTAGTGCCGAATGTGTTGGCAATGCAGAAAAGTGTCCCACGCCCAGCGCACCTGAGCGGGCCGGCAAGTAAAGTGTCTGAAGCCAGGCTACATGCCCTTCGGGAACAACACCTCTCTTCATGTCATGACCATCTTCTCGTCTCTCTATGCCAATGAGGACAAGTAGGGATAGGATTGGCCTTGGGCCTCTAAGCTAAATTTCCCAAGTGGGTGGATCGTTTTCTTCACGCAAGAGAAAGACTCTCTAAGTCACCTCTGAAGATCCTGCGCGCTTCAGTGCACGCGCCAGACCTATCAGCTTGCAGACCATATTTTGCCGGACCACTCTGGTTAGTAAGACCATATTATGGGCACAAGAGCACCAGAAACACTGTGCGCAAACTTGGATGCAAAGCCATCGGTGCTCTACACCCTTCTATTGTCTTGTGAGCAGAGGCTATGGACCGCTGATGTCCACAAGAACCGTCTTTGCGTGGGGACATGATATTTGCCCGACACGATCAGTACATTTCAATCCAAGCCACGTTTTTATGAGTGCAGACAGTGTCTGCACCGCTGATGTGTCCATAAATGGAATGGCTGATGCCTCGGCTGAGTGAGTCAAATCTAGATGACTTTCACTGGCTGCCAACCTGGTAAGCTTCTCCAGGAGGGCACACAGGAGGCTGCTGAAATCTGTCTATTGTACAAAACATGCAACTGCCGAAGGCTACCAGGCGGAAAACCGAGACTCAATACAGCTGTCCCATGCCAGTCACATACTAAAAATGTTCGCCCTGCTGCCGATAGAATGATGCCGTCCAGCGAGTTGTCGATTCCACTTCTCTCACTGAAATCCAACTCCTTCGGGACCCAGCAACATAAGGCAGCCTAGGATGGGCGTGGCAGGTTGTGCTTCTGCACATCTACGTGTAGGCCATGTCAGCATCCTGCTCTTCGACCCATTCCTGCAATCTCTCGACCTCGGCGGGGCTGTGGCGAGAATCTTGAGACGCTCTGACAAAGCCTTGGGAGCTGGCATTTGCGTAGAACAAAGGGCCTTCCATCCGAAGCACGAGGATCCCGTGTTCTCTGCAAGCACCTCCAAGAAAATAGGGGAAAACATACCAGGGCCAGGGCTGCTCTGAAATTGAGAAGCAAGCCTGCGCGATCCAAAGCCATCCATTTGCGAGCCCTGGTCAAGATGGCAAACGAGACTTTCAAGTTTCAAGCGCCGGTGTCGCACCTGCTACTGTGTGTGTCTTCCCCATCTCGCTCCCGAAAGCCAAGTTCCACAATGTCTGGGTTGACAACCTCCGCACATACTGGCTCTGGAGGACACTTCCTAGATAAAGCCATCATATTTATTACCACCGGCCTGATAGAGGATGATCACTAGTGACGTGACCACGGCTGCCAGCATGCCTCCATCAATCTGTGCTCTTGGTTTGGCCCGCTCTTCTCGCTCTGGAGTCGCCATGAGTGATTGTTTCAGACACCTGTTCCATACGCCAACCAGGTTCGGCTGTGGTGCCACTAGAGGTATTCAAACGTCCTGAGAACTTCCAAAGAAAACTGTAGGCAAGCCCCTGGTTCAGAAAGCTCTAGTCCTCCCCACCCGCAACCCCAGGACAGGATTACCACTTCCACGTTCTCTCGCTCTCCCTCGCTCTCACGGTCTCACGCTCTCGCTCTTGCTTGCTGCAGGTCAAGGTCCAGCATGCTGGACCCGCGCCCTAGGCGCCCCCCACCCTCTTCAGGTTCAGAGAGCAGAGGCTTTGGGGTCCCATGGCTTGGTCTTCAAGACGCGCCAAGGCCACACACCTGGTACTTGCAACAGCCTGGTACAGTAGCATGCAAAGCACAGGACTGCAACTTTCATTGATCGGCCTTGAAAGGCTCCGAAGCAGAGCGTACAACCTCAGCCGTGAAAGCAATGAATGCTCTTCCCCACGTCCAACCCCACCCGGAAATGACTCGTCACTTGTCTTAGTGTCTTAGTATCTTTGCCAAGGAGGCTGAAGCCAATAATCCAGGTAAACATCTCGCCTGCCACAGGGAGCATCAGGACACTTGCTCGAAAAAGCCGGCCCTTTTCCGGCAGCCGCTTGCAGTCTGCCTCTCATCTTCCAGCTGTACCGCTCGTTCTGGGCATACGCATACAGTTCCACGGCCTTTGGAGCAATGAAGATGCGGCGCTCGGACTGAAAAGGCCACTCACTGCCGGCCCGCGCCTGGTCGAACTCGGTCAGATGTGAGGCCCCGTTGACAATGATACAGTTCAGCACGCACATGGGCACATTCTCGACGTACCTCCCGGGTCAAGGACATGGTTGAAGAAGGGAAGCTACGATCCATGTCCCATGTCTGGGCGAGACGATCTCATGTCTCGGAGAGCCTGCTGAAGAGTACCACTCCAAGACAGACCACGACCTGTGTTGGTTCAGCGCACAAACCGAGTCTTTCTCAACCTAGCTGAACATTGCAGCTTAGCCGTCCCTGTCGCTTGATTCATGTCATGTTCCGTCCTGAAGTCTACCTTTGTTTACAATATGCCACGTGCAGCC